GGGGGGGGGGGGGGGGGGGGGGGGTTAGTGAGATCAGTGTGTGCCCGTCGCTCGTGAGTTTGAGGGTCCTAGAGTTAGGCAATCAGCGTTGATGAGGAGCAGAGGGCGGGGAGGGCGAGTGGGAAAGAGGGCTTGGACAATTAGTAACTAGTACTCCCGCCATAGCCTCCGCACGTCTCCCACCCCAACCCACAGGTCAAAACATGGATGAGGGGGACCTCCACTGACAGCAACCGCAGCGTTACGCATGCGAAAGTACTGCATACGTGGATTACGAGTGCGTGAAAACCTATCGATACATTCGTACATCGTGTTTGTATCCCGTTGGTTGGCCCTTTACAAAAAAAAAAATGTTTCCATTTTATAAAAATTTAAATCGACTTCTGGCGGTGGAAATTTCGTAGTCGAAATTACGATTTCAAAATTAAGGGTCACAAGGGTCAGGATAAGGGTCTAAATCGAGGGACCATTCACTCCTGGATTGAGTGACACCATAACTTCGAATTTTTTTTTAATCGTTATTTTACATCGCTTCGACCCGGTTAGGGTATACTGCAATGCCACAATGTCACAAGATACAACAAGGTACAATAGGTCACGAGGGTCAAGAGGGTCAACCCCCCTTACTTGATTATTTGATTATAAGTGTATTTCATGTTACAAGGAGGAGTAACGGAGGTGATCGTTGTGCCCCTGCGGCACCCTGGGACCTTTAGAATCATAAGGGCCATAAGGGTCACAAGGTACAATAGGTCAAGAGGGTCAACCCCCCTTACTTGATTATTTGATTATAAGTCTATTTCATTTTACAAGGAGGAGTAACGGAGGTGATCGTTGTGCCCCTGCGGCCCCCTGGGACCTTTAGAATCATAAGGGCCATAAGGGTCACAAGGTACAATAGGTCAAGAGGGTCAACCCCCCTTACTTGATTATTTGATTATAAGTCTATTTCATTTTACAAGGAGGAGTAACGGAGGTGATCGTTGTGCCCTTGCGGCCCCCTGGGACCTTTAGAATCATAAGGGTCACAAGGTACAATAGGTCACGAGGGTCAAGAGGGTCAACCCCCCTTACTTGATTATTTGATTATAAGTCTATTTCATGTTACAAGGAGGAGTAACGGAGTTGATTGTTGTGCCCCTGCGGCCCCCTGGGACCTTTAGAGTCATAATGGCCATAAGGGTCACAACGTACAATAGGTCACGAGCGTCAAGAGGGTCAACCCCCCTTACTTGATTATTTGATTATAAGTCTATTTCATGTTACAAGGAGGAGTAACGGAGGTGATCGTTGTGCCCCTGCGGCCCCCTGGGACCTTTAGAGTCATAAGGGCCATAAGGGTCACAACGTACAATAGGTCACGAGCGTCAAGAGGGTCAAACTCCCCTGCTTGATTATTTGATTATAAGTCTATTTCATGTTACAAGGAGGAGTAACGGAGGTGATCGTTGTGCCCCTGCGGCCCCCTGGGACCTTTAGAGTCATAAGGGCCATAAGGGTCACAAGCTACAATAGGTCACGAGCGTCAAGAGGGTCAAACTCCCTTGCTTGATTATTTGATTATAAGTCCTGAGGGTCACAACAAGGGTCACGAGGATCATCCGGAGTTTGGCAAGCGGAGCGAGGGGGCC